ATCAATAGATGAATGTTGATATTGATGAATGTTGATGATCATGATGTGACATCATTATTAGTGAGTACTACCAATCTACCTACCAATAAATAAATAAAAGTTTGAAATAATTTAAAAGATACTTAGGCAGTTTGCGGCTAGTGGTAGCAGTAGAGCTCCTTGTGAAAGAGTTTGTCCAGAGAAGTACTGTTACCTTACCTATTTCTTCCGCCAAACAATAATCTGACCATTACAGCATTCCAGTTTTGGAGGGTACGGCTACTGGGGAAATTCATCAACGACGATCGAGGCTGCTTAGTTTTTTAAACGTTTAATACTTTAATATTTTGCACGATTTAACCTTCACTGGGTTCGCGGAGTAGCAAATTAATTTACTACCATTTTTATATGTTTCATGTTGTTCGTATTGTTTTTATGACTTTCATGTAATAAAAGCACTTTTGACAATGAATAAGCATCATCATCATCAGATTTTGTTACACAAAGGGTACGATTATAATTAAACATTTGCGTCATTATCTCCGAAATAAGATGGAAACCTGTATTTTTTGTAAAGTTGTACGCACAGTAGACCTCCAAAGCTTGATGAAAAAGGGCCTAATGGGATGATGGTACATTATAAGTGTGTATGTATTTTACCTATAATTAAACACTAGAGACTTACAGATTGTACTGACCTACGTACGTAAACAAGCATAACATTCACATTCATCTTTTTAAGACAATTAATCGAACGGTACATCCAATAAGACAATTCTATATTTACAGTTCACAAAAACTAGGACTGTGGCGATATTGTACAGAAAATACTGCATCCCACTTCCCCGCAACCACACTCTTGGTCTATGACACGAAATTAGTTGAAAGCAAATTTAACTTTGTCACTAGTTATGTTGTGTTGAGACTTTCTCTGGGACGAATTGCACACAAAACTCGTAACTAATTAAATTGTATGTGAACAATGCGAGCCACGAAATATGTCTGTTGCTAACAGGAATTCTCTGTACAAATAGTGCGAAAGCTAATATTTGCGACCTAATTATCGTTTCCGCCTGCTGTGAATTCACGCTTATAATCATTATTTATTTACCCCTACTCTTATACATTAGTCCATTGTATGAAAAGTATATAATGAACTAACAAATTTGTAAAATAATATGAACTGATATTAAGTTTAATTGAATATCACGATGTGAAATTACTCCAGCAACATCTTATAATCTATTAATACTACTAGTACTGAAATTGCAGGCACATGAGACTTGTCAACTTGACAATTTACGTCTCAGTGGGACTGGCACAGTGGCAGTGCACTGCAACTGTTATGTATAGGCGTGTCCCTTACCACCAGGCGCACGACTTATTCGTCCCGTCGCTTGGTATTATAAAAAAAATACAAAGATCGAAGACCAAGAAAAATTCCTTCGATCCGGCTGGATTCGAACCAGCGCTTTCAGCATATCGTGATTTAAGCTTTCCCAACTGAGTCACGGATCGAACCAGTAGACCTTGCGAATTTTTCTGTGCTTGTTTTTGGTTTTGAACTACTTTTTTTGCCATAGCGATAAGCGCCATCTTTGAGAAATCTACGAAAATTTTCCGTAACTCACCTTTACAGCTACCAACAGCTGACTAGTATTTATAATTAGGTGTAATATGAAAAAGTAGTACACACTTTTTTCGAAATTATTGTTGGAAAAAAATAAAACAAAACTGTATATAGACTGTCATTGCGACATTTGACATAAAAGCACTTTTCAATGTATTTGTGAATATAATTCATTAATTTATATAGCAGTTTGCTATCTATTTTTTTATTAACATTTACATGTATTTATTCGTTTTTAAGTATTTTATTTTATACGTGTTTTAACGTTTTAATGCGTATATTCAATCGTTATGCAGGACAGAGTAACTAAACAACAATCTACTGAAAAAGGTAACCACAGCCGAACCACGATAGCATGTTAATTTTGACAGCTAGAAATGTTAAAAGAACTTAATAGTAATTGTCGAATTAGGAAAGAATTAATTAAGGATCTCACTTATCTCCATTATAAACACGAATTGCGTTATTAATTTGGTTATATACAATTAATAAAACAATTTGATTTGATGTGTTTTTTTCAATTGTTATTACAATTATTATTGCTATATTTTCTATTTATGATACGTCTAAATATATAACGTATAAATATACCGTTACTTTCTATGGCTTTATTTTCTAACGTATTTTCGTAAATGTCCCGTAAATAGAATACGTATGTTATTATCGAAATTATATACTGTGTGTCCCATGGCTTTGCGACATGGAGGGAAATTAAATATTGTGGATAGAATATTTTCCGTTATGGAGACATTATTTTGTTTTTAAAGTAAGTAATACTGCATTCAAGTTATTTAAAAAGTTGCTTGCTTTATATTTATTTATCGATTGGATTCGAACCATCCTAATAAATGTATAATAAATCCTGCACTTTATGTTGCCGATCGAAAAGATCTTTTACAAGGATTAATTTCTTATAACTAACATAGTCTCTTAGTTTAAAGGAACATCATGAAATTTTACATTTAAGCTTAGGAAATGAATTATAATAGGAAATGAAACTATTTTTCCGGATTTAAATCGCGTATATTTGTTTTTTCACACAACCAACGTTTCGGGCTCTTTACTGGTCCCATGGTCACGGTTGACTGAGGTGGTACAGTCATCAACCAGTTATGTTTAATATTAATGCAAACCACCGTATCTTTTCACTATAATCACAAAAGTTATTTATTAAATACCTTATTTTTTATTTTACAAAGAAACATTCCAATTTACGCTACATTGTTTTACAAATTTAAATATAGTATTAATTAATAATCGAAATTAGAATAAATTAAAACATATCCATCTTCCCTGTTGAATTTAGATTGTTTTTTAATTCCAATCGCAGTCTGCAAGCATGTCATGGATAAACCTACATATTCAATGAAGTTCGACAAACCCCAGGTCCTTGCAAAAGAATACCGTTATCTACCCAGGATACTGCGAGAGGCCATTGAAATTAAAAAACATCCTAATTTGAACAGGGAAGATGGTTTCTCCGTACTACCAGTTTGGGATCCAATATTTCTTCTGATGAAAAATCCCAAACAGACATAAGACTGCAGTATCAATTATTATGTTTTAATTTATTCTAATTTCCATTATTAATTAATAATAAATTTAATTTATTAATGAATTCATATTGTTACAATAAAATAATTTGTAAAACAATGTGGCGTAAATTGGAATGTTTCTTTGAAATATTAAAAATAAGTTCTTTAATTAATAACTTATGTAGCTATAGTGATAAAATAGGATGGTTTGCATTAATATTAGATATAACTGGTTGATGACTGTACCACCACAGCCAATCGTGACCATGGGACCTATAAAGGGCCCGAGACGTTGGTTCGTTTGAAAAAACAAATATACGCGATTTAAATCCGGAAAAATAGTTTCATTTCCTATGTGTAACAATCGCGAAAACCTAAGAACTGGAATTGTAATGTTTTTTACAGTCGACATTCGTGCTTCTACAAATATCTGCATTATCATTTTATCGATAGCTTTGATTATTTATTAAGATGAATAATTTGTATATAATACTAATAATACAATTGTCCCTGGCAGAAAAGTCCGCAAAAATAGAGTGTAATCATAATGAAACGTTATGTAGTCCTTAACAAAAATGTATGCGCTAACAACATCAATAAATGCATAACTACCAATAAATTATTGCAGACACCGTTAATACGATTACTTACACGTTTTATTCACAACTAAATTAACAACTAGTTGTTAATAAAACTAAATGTTAATTTATGTTAAAAAAATACTTGCGACTTTTTTAATGTAAAGTAAATATTTGAATTGGCTACATTGCATAATGCATTCCGTTCATTATTTTCATTCAATTAATTTAAACTTCGCTACGAGAGCGCGATAGCTTTATTTGCGCCTTGTTGTTTCTGTAACTAGTATTGCAGTGACACTAATTAAAGTAGATGTTGTACAAGTCTAAAACCACTATGCTATCTTGGTTAAAATCACAATGCTGTCTTGGTTCGACTTGAAGTATCTACTATTCTATGAAAACAACATTCGCTGCCAGTGTTCCGTATTCGAGGAAACCCTTCTTGGAGGAGGACTTCACTTTCATAGAGTTTTGCGCTGCACTTGCATACTTTCTTTATCATGATTTAATAGCAGTAGAGCTCCTTGTGAAAGAGTTTGTCGAGGAAAGTACTGCCACCGTACTTATTTCTGCCGCCAAGCAGTGATGTGAGAATTACTGCATTCCGGTTTTGAAGCGTAAGGGTGCTGCTGAAATTACAGACGCATGAGATTTGTCAACTTATGTCTCAGGGTGACGAATGCAGTGGCAGTGACTCTCAGATCTTTGTGATTTAAAGCTCTGAATGGCACTGCAACTTTTTTTTATAATATTAAGTGATGGGACGAACAAGTCGTGAGCCTGATGGAAAGCTACACGCTTATCCAAAACAGTTGCAGTGCCATCCAGAGCTCTAAATTTCAACTGTTCTGTATTGGCGTATCGGTTACCACCAGACGCACGGCTTATTCGTCCAGTCACTTGGTCTCATAAAAAAGGTGGATATTTATGAAATTACCCTAAAATGCTGCACAAAAACTTTAATCTAAGTAGAGTCGAGAACCAGAACCTGAATATAGAAGAAATTGTCATCTAAACGCCGGCAAATTTTACAATACGAAAATCTGAACCAAGTTCCCGGATCTCCCACACTTCCTAGTAAGCCCAATACCTTAACAAGTTTCACTCTTTCCCAATAAATAATGCATGCAGGCGTTTGACCATGACCATGCATCCTTATAGAATACAAATGTTATTGTCCACTATGCACGTTTCTCCTATTGATTTCCAGTCGTCTGGATATTGACTATTATAAATTGACTCCTGACAGAATTTTATTGTGTTTTAGGTACTGCGAAAGGAAACTGGTGTCCACAGATACATCACTATATATCAGGTAAAGCTGTTTACACCCAATATAAATTATCGAGTACTTAGGTTTTTGCGATTGCGACATATTAGAAACGAAACTATTTTTTGTGATTTAAATCGCGTATATTCGTTTTTTTTCTTCAAACAAATCAACGTTTAGGGCTCGTCACAGGTCCCATGGAAAAAAATGTATTTATAGTAAAAACATTTGTAACTAGTTCTATAGTCCAGAATAGGGCGGTTTGCGTTAATAGTCGATTTAACTGGTTAATGACTTTACCATCTCAGTCAGCCTTGATCATTTTATTTTATGTATTTGTTTATTCATTTACATTCGTAGACACGTTACATTTAAAATATTACATGCACCCAGTAAGGGTATAACAAATGATAGGTAAGTCTTATAAGCTAAAATTTAAATTAATAATACAGTTTGAATACAAGAATTAAAATTAATATGAATCATGGGACCTGTAAAGAGCCCGAAACGTTGATTTGTGACTGGGGGAGTTTGAGTAATAATGATATGAAGTACGCTCGGTCCACATGAATTTATTGTGGAAGTATAATAGGGAAAAGGTGAAGGAAAGAAGAAAGGAAGAACAGGCTGTAACAAAAACAGGTACAACAAAAACAATAGTATAAAAACAGGTACAATAATGTAAAAACGCTCACAACAGGTTAGAACTTATTAGTTTATTATTATATGATTACAGTACCGGCCCGCCATGCGCCATGGTGACTGTTTTGACAGATTACAATAGTGAGGTAAAATCTCAATTCATTATCGAAAAAAATATTATCAAATGCGAGTCGCATCTATAAGATTTTAGATTTATAACTAGTATTGCAAGGAGTAGCCGATTAAAAAGTTTTAATGAAACAAAATTTTTAATGATTACTTAATATATCGTCAATTCGAAACGACGATTGTTTTGCATTGAGCTTTTGCCGGAGGTAGAAGTTGTGCTGGCCAGCGATCTCATAAATGACGATCGAATTAGAGGTCATTTAAAAAAATTCCAATTTCGAAAAACAAGTGCCGAGGTGTATCGTAAAATTACACATTCCATAAATTTTACTGCACATCCCTATTGACAACAATGTACAGCAATTAGCTCCTTCAACGTAGTTATGAATTAATACGAAACTTGATTAGCGGACAAACGTCAAAACGGCCATCATAGCGTGCCGGTAGTATAGTGAAAAAATGGCCGGTATTCCTATTATTGCTGCTTATGAGCAGTTAGTTACACGATTGAGAGCACGTCTGGAGTGACGACGGAACGAAGCAAAGTAATAATGGCGAAGGAAAATAATTAGAGAACGATTCAAATATTTTAAAAGTGGCCAGGAACCAGAGAAAAATGTGATAAAAAAAGTGGAATGGCCATGCAAGAGGTCACATCGTCACGTTTTAAGGATCAAATGTACGCGATTTAGATATGGAAAAAATTTCATTCAAAAATTTTTTTCATTTTCAACAAAATAAAATAATCTTAAAACAGAGATAAAGTCAAAATTCCTTAACTGACCTACATTGGCAGATATCTTCATACGGTGGTTTACTGAAGCATTTGTTCGGGAATATTGGTTTTTTGCTTATACGATCGACGGTTCTGCAGTCTAATATCGACTTTAGTTGAAATTAGATACAAATCGAGTTCTTAGATTTTTGCGATTGTTACATATAGGAAATGAATCTTTTTTTTTCGGATTTAAGCCGCGTATATTTGTTTTCAAACAAACATATTATGCGATTTAGATTGGAAAAATAGTTTCATTTCCTATTAGATACAAATGCAAGTAAAACTACCAAGATTTACGTCTGAATCATTTGAAGCGCTGAATTGTTATTCGATCGCATACATCCAGGTCACAAAAATAACCAAAGTTATGACTGGTAAAACTACGAAATATCTGTACGTGTACACGGTGAAAATTTGAAACGGATCAACAAGGTCAGCTATTAATTTCGTAGCTACAAGAAAATGATCCTATAGACAGTCCGTGAATTTTGAAAGTATTCAATTAGCATTCACAGATTTAGCAAAAATGGTACAGTAAGAAAGATAAAGGCACTTTTTACAATACTTTTTTCATGCCATACAATCCTGTTTCTGCTAAGGATCAAAAGTCTCTACGAGACGGGTCAGTTCAGTCATCACATGGCCTTTGCGAAAAAGAACGAATCAATAATCATTTAAAAAAAGAAGCAATCAATTTGCACTCATCATAGTAGGTCAATGACTCATCATAGTTATTTTTATTTTTGCTATTGTTCTTATTTTGAAACACATAATGCGTTGTCAATTAGTTACTAGCCTTTTCTGTAACCTACAAAAAGTGTTTATTATTTTTATTTTTTGTAGTACACTTTCCTTAGTTGATCCCATGGATAATTTTGATCCTTACTATAAGAACAATTACCTATATAGGTTATTGCTCTTTGTCCTTACCAGAAACTAGAACGCCATGAAAGTTTTGTCAACATTACCTTTTGCCTTACTGACGGTGCCAATATTTTCAACGTCAGTGAATGTTAATGGAACTTCAACATTCATGGTTGGTTGTCTAGGACCGTTTAGGTTTAGGTATTTATTAGCTACTACGATTAAGGTAACGATAAAAGATATTTATGAACTGAAGTCTTTGTAACTGGTGTTACTGACGCGTCTCAAATTTTGATCCTATATATTTTACGATCCTATATAAGTTTATATTATATTTGGCTAAACAATATTGTACCTTTGTTACAGAAAGAATCACCCAACGCCAAGCTACATCAAAATTGAACTCATTCGCTGAAGGACGAAAATCTGTGTAAGTTGTAATGCATTAAATTTCAGTTTTCCGCGCTTTCCGTTGGCCACCTCACTTAGCAACACCTAAAATTAAATACATAATTCGTCGATGTTCTTTGTTCAAAAAAAACATTTATATAAAAAGTGGTAGAGTATATGGCTTAACCATCCGTGTCCGAGAATCTCGCTCGCACTCTCAAACCACTTTGCTAGTAATGCAGATTTTGATTTACAAAGATTATCCGTGTATGTAAAAAGTGAAGTTGTATTTCAGAGTTTCCGGTGAAAAATGCTCACAATGGCAGGAACTTATGAGGAAGTTCTCAGACGACTGCAGGGCCAATGATTCCAAACAAGCCTGGTTTGTGACATGAACTAATCGGGATTTACAATCTCAGAACTATGTACAACGCTTTGTGCGTTTAGTCTTCTCCGCTGAAAGTTTTACTCCCTTGTCGGTCTTCCTTCATTCGACACAAACCTCAGATGTTCTTCAACAGTAAACTATTCTCTTTTTCGGAGGTCCATGTAGCTGTTACTGACCAACCTCGGACTTTCTATACTGTGATATCTTAACCGGTCTTCATATTCGACGCTACGATGTCCTATATAGATACTTTTCACGAACTCCAAAGATCGTATGCAATTGAGAGCACCTGATTCTCTTTTTCTTCTTCAGTTTTATGTTAATTTAAACTATTAAGAACTTGTTTTGTGGAAGTCAGTTTGGCTCTGTCTAAAATATAATAATTTATATCGCACAGTTATCGGAAATTGGAAAATATGAGATGCGAGTGGCGGCCATTAAAAACGTTTTGGACTGGATCAACATACCTTGGCACTTGGAATGGTTTCGGGATGAGCGGATACGGGATCTATACATACGCTAATGGTTATTTACTTACTTGCGATAAATAAATCAAATTTTAGAAAACAACAGCAGTACAGCTCCTTGTGAAAGAGTTCGTCCATAGACGTACTACCACAACCTTACCTATTTCTGCCGCTAAGCAGTAATATGACCATTACAGCGTTCCAGTGTTGAAGGGTTAAGGGTGCTGGTGAAATTACAGGCACATGAGACTTGTCAACCAATAACAACACAATTTCTCAAGGTGACGGGCGCGGTGGCAGTGCCCCTCACGTTGTGATTTAAATCTCTGAGTGGCATTGCAACTGTTATGAACAGGCGTGTCGCTTACCACCAGGCACATGACTTGTCCATTCCGTCACTTGGTGTCTTTAAAAAAAAGTTGCTAAGTACTCTAGTGAAAACATTAGTGAAGTTGCTGCAGGATATTTTAAATTTGTCCAGCAGCAAGTATTTACTTATATGGTTGTATTAAACAATGTTTCAGTTTGAAAATGTATAGAATGAAATGTTGACCCATACCCTAAGAACAATATACTATAGCAGTAGGTTATTATTCTTAGTCCTTACCAGAAACAGGATTGAGCGGCTTGAAAAGTTTTTAAAAATTGCATTGCTGACGGTGCTATTTTTTCAACTTCTATGGCACAATGGAAATTCCTTCAAAATTCTAGGACCGTTTTTATTAAGCTATAACGATTAAGATAACTGGCCAACTATAATACCTATGCACTGAAGTGTTTGTAACTGACATTGCTAAAGTATCTCCAATTTTGATCCTACATTATATTGCTGTAGTAAACAATGTTTAAGTTCGCATCAAAAGTGACTTCCCATTTTCTTTCTAGGAGCAGTATATGAAGGAGAATTTGAAGACAATATGTTTCACGGAGAAGGAGTACTAAAATATCCTAATGGCACGTCGGTACGTGGTATTTGGGTAAAGGGAGTACTTTTGAAACCCTCATCCACTACCGTCTTTGCCGACGGCCTCATGTTTCGGGAACACGACTGGCAATACTGTGAAAAACAAGATAGAAGGTAAAAACTAAGTATTACATAAGACATAATTTCTTGTAAACTATCAAATCCTACGAGAGTGACGGTATTAAGTATGAGGGCACAGCTCGGAACACAAAGACTCAAACCTTTCAGAAAACAGAATAAAACGTATTTACTAAGATAATGGAAAGGTTAGCGGATGACGGATTCCGTTACAGCACAACACGCACACCGCTTGCCTTAGCACTTGATTATTTTATTGTTCTAGCTATTTGCTTCTTGTATGTATGTTATTTGTGTGTGTATCATTTAATTGTTATTTCACATTATTTATATTATTTTTTTCATGCCATAATTTATGTATTGTAAATTTATTGTTAAATGTACATGTGCTGTGTCGTTTCTTTTTGGAATTATTTTTTTCTATTTTAATAGGTTTGTAATCAAAAATTTAGATAGCTCCCAATGATGACTAATAAAGCAATACAGTATTCATAGCATTGTAACGATGGCGACTATACCGAGAAAGTTGCATAGCGTTCTACGACCTGTTGTTGTACAAAAAACGAGGGAACAAGAAATTCTTCTTTCAGTGTTCGTCGATTACGATTGTAGTTCGTCTTAAAATACCTAGAACACAGTATTATTGTTGTCATTACGATATTAGTCGGGTCGGGAGCGCGGCGGGACTAATTCCGTGTATTTACGCACGCGCCTGCACTCTGTGTGTTATCGTCCATATAAATACACGGAATTAGACCCGCCGCGCTCCCAACCCGACACGCGCCCGAACCGTCCCGCTCTCTATGTGTTTCACGCTTAAATACCATTCAGATCTTTGCTATTTAAAGGTCTGAGTGGCACTGCAACTGCTATGTACAGACGTGTCCCTTACTACCAGGCGCACGACTTGTCCGTTCCGTCACTTGGTGTCATAAAAAAACCTCATTAAAGATTTTCGCATAAAAGTATTTTGCTCAACTTGAAAACTAAAAGTTTGAAACATTCCCATTATTACATTCACATCCTATCCACCAAATAGGGTGGCCCTTCTGAAACCGAAATAACACAGTTAATTCAATATTGAAATAAAATGAGTTGAATGTTCAAAGTTGTCGAAAGTGCAGCGAATATCCCCGGAAATCTGTGGAACATTCATGAAATTGAATCTCGGAAATGAGATTAAAATCTGAGGTTATATGAAGTGAGTGGTCACCAGAGACAGAAATGTTCGCAGTCAGAATACTTTAACTAAAAACTTGAGTTGTACAAAGGACGAATATTCCCGAAAGACGCCGCTTTGACTTGGAAAATTTTTGTCGCAATGCTTTTTAAAACTTGTGAAAACTCTTTCCTAACTTAGAATATTTTCTAATCCACTTGAAGTGTTGTTAACAATACATTTTCTTATAAATGTTTTAGAAAAAGACATTTAAAAAATAAATTTGCTTTACCAAATTCATTTGCAACAAAAAAAAAATACTTTTTAAGAAAATCGAGGCTCATTCTGCAAACAAACTTTGAATTATTGTGATACATATAATGCCACCATTTTTGTCCTCTTAACAGTGGACTTTGCTTTCTTTACACGATAACTTACAGCGTGTGCGTATGCAATTAGATTTTTTTTTAAATATTTAATCATCATCTTGATTTTGGGGACGTTTATAAAATTTGTTCCAAATATGTAAGTATGTACGTAAATTTTAGAGCAAGTGTATTTCCGGTATAAGTATTAGCGAGACTTGAGAGGATAGAATAATTAGAACAATTTGTTTTTGTTTTGGATTTTTGCATTAGCGTTTTAGCCACTGACAAAGCTTTTGACTTTTTACTTTAAAACGGGAACCTTATAACGTAAAAAGGAAGTTTGGAAACGAGATTAGGAAGGGAAAAAAAGGGGCCGTGAGAGGAAATATAAGACATAAATAAGAAAAATATAAATATAGGAGAAATCATATACTCGTGTAACATTTGTCCCCGACATGTAATTTCGAGGAAACTGTCAAACCACATAAATTATTTATCAAAAGTTAACAACCAATTACCGTTCAGGCTGTACACTTTTGATGGTTCACTGACCATTTTAGTTTTTATTGTAATAATATTGTAAATAGTATTATAAAAAAACGCTGGTTGAAATGTACATTATCAAGGGAATGCACTTCCAGATAGTATGAATCAGTAGGTTTATCCTGTGAAATCAAAACACTGAATAATATTTATGATTTTTACCCTGACATATTAAGTTTAGAAGTACAATATTTTCGAATGTGATATTGATAGCTCGACTAAGGCAACTCGATTTTTTTGACTATCGATACGTGTTATCAAACAAAATCGAATGAACGTGTAAGCAACAGACGGTCAACAACGTATTTTTTGTTAAATGACACTGTTGAAGTTAAATTAGACGTAGGCGCCTACAAATTTGGTTCATTTTAACGTTGATATTTATCAATCGCTAATAAGTGATTGTAATGATCATCAAGAATTGAGCAAATCTGTAAGCACCTTTAGTGAGAACTTGCTCAACTAATTAAGCATTTCGTGATGGATAACGAAGGTCGGGTTTACAATCTTGTCATTTAAGGAAATATGATAGCCAGCATTTTGTCGGATTTATTAGAGAGCGTACTTTTTAATTACACAAACTAATTCTGCTATCTTTTTTCCTTCTTTTGAGATTGCCCTTGAAGATCTACTCTTTTTACTTCTTAGCGCAATAAACAAAGAACTGGAATTATTTACTAGTGTATAATACACGATACTCGCGTTGAAATTGTAGTCAAGCTGTGTTTAGTACATGGTTTAAAGTGAATAATAAACTACAATGTTTATTATTACATCAAACAAATGTACATTTTCTCTAGCTTTCTGCAATCAACAATAAAATTATAATGACTTGATAGAATTATTAAATATAAAGTGTATAAAGTTAAAAGTTAATAAAACTTGTGCGCAAAATTCCTTATACCTGCTCTTTCACGTAATGATGATTTTGATAATATTGTATACAGGTTTTAAATTATAGATTGGTTAAAGGCAAATGTTTTGTTGTCTAGGATAGTTATATCATTAAACGTGTTTTGCAAAAAAAATATTAGGTCATTTATACAAACATAATTTATTTTCATTTATACAAACTAGTTACCATTTTTATTTGTCGAGTTGGTCGGCCTGGAACATGTTATTCCAGAATGACGAGTAAAATTGTATCAAAATTGCCTGCATTGGGAACTAGATGAAAATAGTTCTTTGGCTCTAGTTAATATGGCTTTAGTTTTAAGCAAATATTATAACGATTTGCACAATTGTCAGGTTTTCAATAGAATACGTTCATAAACTTCAACCAGCTGGCATGACATTTCTCTCAGCCGATGGTCCTCCGCGTGAAATCCCCGAAGGTTTCTACGACTGCAGCGATGGCTTTTTCGACCCCAAAAGCAATACTGTGTACGATTATAATGACTTGTCGAAGGCAATAAGGTATGTTGTTCCATATCTTTTAAATTTTGAAGTAAATGCATCCTTAACTGATGACCTCAGTGGTCGAGTGGTTTCACATGGTGGCGCTATTCAGAGGTTCCGGGTTCGATTCCCGGCCGGGAAAATGTAGAGAACTAACTTTTGTAGTACCTTCGGTGTTTGTAGTACCTTCGTTGTTTCCGATTACCATAACACAAGTGCTTTGTTACTTACTTTGGGATCAAAGCAACATATGTAATGTTGTCTAATATAGTTTACGTGTATTATGTTTATGTTAATTTTTTTTTATCAACACGAAAATTCTAGATCTGACTTGTATCTTGTAAGTCTTTAAGTAAGCATACATACGCATACTTATCTGTGGAATAAGCACGTAATAAGACAGTACAATATATAAGTAGGTGCGACTTATTTTAAATAAACTTTCGCAACTCAAACTCAATAAATAAATAAATGTCCATGGGTGCGTTCGTTTAATCGTCGTTATAGTTTGTAACTAGCTCGAATCGCATGTGATTACACTGTTTGATTGACTCACTGATTACGGGGTTCGGCACTTCAGAAGATCTTCTTTCGTAACTACAAGTTGCAGATTACAAATTATTCTAAACTTGTTTGGTTTTAAAACCAAATACATGCGCGTAACAAGTTTGTCCTAGCTTTATTTTTATTGTTTCCTTATCTATTATTGAGCACGTTTTTATCCCTATCTGAAATGTTTACTTTTTTCTCTCAGAAACAGTTTTAGTTTACAGAAACGCAAAATTCAGATTTTTTTATACTTGTCAGGCAGATGTCACCTCTCCACCTGATATTAAAGGGAAAGTGGAGTCCAAAGGTGAAGGAACCTAGTGCTGCGTTGATGCAATTATTGCCCTAGCCACCTCCACACTTCACGCCCGCAAGTCTTTATAATAAATAAAATGTTTTTATTTTTTTAATTATCTAAGCTACATCATAATTTTTTCAGGGTACCCGACATGACAATGCGTGACTGGATAATGAAGAACTGTCGCACTTCTGGACAGCTAAAACCTCTAGGGCCACAACCACAATTGTATGAAGAGTGGGTGAATCCTATTTATGACTACGTGCATCCAACACCGCCGCCAGAACTTTTCACAGAGCGTGATTTCGTACGGACTTTCATGAACTGTTCATATCAAATACGAAAAAACTAAATCCTATATCTTGACATATTATTCTCACACACCATTATTCATTTGTGTAAACAAAAACATACTACCAATATCGACCATAACAAGGACACGTTTATAAGCATATAAGATATTTTTTGCAATTAAAAATTTAATTTAATAGATTACATTAGACACAATTCAATTGTAATTAAAAAATAATAAAGTAGGCTGAAGGAGAAAATTAAATATCTTTATAATAACGATTTGTTAGGACAATAGAAATATCGCGATGCAGTTACCATGCAGCAACTTACTAATCGCATAAGAAGTAAATAAAGTTTTACCCAATGCTAAAAGGCCATTATATGTATATCCCTGCTACGTAAAGAATAATAAGCCCAAATTCACAAAGAAGGATGGCTAAAGCCATCCCAATAACGACGAAGAGCTGTTGATGGACTTTGCTAGTATACTTTGGCGTTTTAGTCTATGCCTAGTTATTAATATACGTTTGAATATTTTTAGAAGTCGAGAATTTAAAAAATGTAAAACATTGTATTTTAGAATAGATGCAAGAACATAACGCTATTGATTCAGTTCGACCAGATTGTGTACGTACGTTTCATTTTAAGCATGATTGAATGTTTACGTACCTAAAGTATTGGTTATTTTATAGTACACACATAAAACATTAAAACTATAAAACACCTAACTAAATAATCAATTAAACAGTGATGACATTAAGCAAAAAATTAAGCACAATGTGACAAAAATATTTAGACAATTTTCAAATGAGAGATAATGAAAGTTGCAAAGGAACGTTTTGACAAGAGACTTCTTGCCAATGTCAATGTCACATTGATATTGTGAATAGTGTGAACATTTTTGGCAGATTTCTGCCATTTGGACGATTTATATTTTATTCGTTTTCATTGCTGCAGAACATGACGAGTTATATTAAATGTGCCAGAGTTTGGCAGATTTGTGAATATTCGGGAAGTTCTATAGTATTTTTGGAAACAAAGTGCAAACTTGTTGTTTTCTGCAACTAGGAACAAACATCTGAAGCGAAATACAGCACAATGTTATAAACATAACCTATATCAACTTTATAACCCCAGCTTCTACAGGCTGTACTCAATTAGCTTTTTTGATGCTTTGATAATGAATCACAAGTATGGATAGATCTTCTTAATGCACGTCGTCATAAACACTGGGTCACACCTACAAAAAATAAAGTGATTTATGAAAAAAAAACCTGTTTTGTGGCTTAAGTTACGCAGACGTAAGATCGATATTGGCTATGAGCTTTTTGGTCCAACTAATTTTACTAGAGTTTGTTCTTTGTCAGGATGATGTGCCATCATCTACGCGGAATCTTCCACCATCAACAATTAATATGTCAGCAATACGTTTCTCTTGATAACGGCATCGTCGGTTCTCCGCTGGCAGCTAACCTGTGTGTCTGAAGATGGGCTTAGCGGTACCTAACGAAAGAGATGTTGTAAAAATAAATGTGCAGCATATTCTGATATCTGTTATTCTCGACCAGCTTTTTTAAAATGCGTCCAGAGAGGCAAAACGTGTAACGTTTGGAAGGATCAAAGCACCAGGATATAATTAGCGTTATTCCACCAGTTTACGTTAGCTGACCTGGTAGCGAAGGCTTGGCCACCTATTTTCTCACAGAAAAACATCTTGATTTATATGACCTTTGATTACTAACAGAATTGATAACCAAGATATGCTACCATTCCTGCAGTTAAATATTCTAAAGTGCTCAAGGAAGTAAAAAAATTACATTTGACTGTTAGCCTTGCACTTTTTGCTTATAAAAGGTTATGTCAACAAACTCCTTTTGTCTGTGGTTAGGCAGTAAGGTCACAACCCTAGCCTGTTATTTTTGGACGAATAGAACCAAAAAATTCTGTGATTTTTGCGGATTAGTGTAAGGATTTTTGAATTTCAAAATGGCCACCGTAAATACATAACGATATCCCGCGAAAAAAATTCTGAATATTATATTTGAAAAAAAATCTAACATTTGGCAGTCCCTAAGGACGATAAATTATACTACTGACTGTGGTTTCTTTTGGTATTTGTCTTTTGAGAAAAATAAAGCAATACGCTTAATGTTTGTAATTTGTACCTATGTCATTAATAGGTAATAAACTATAATAAAAAATGTTACCTACACAAACTTAACGCTTTTTTTTTCTGTGTGGAGTTTTTGATTCATTTACTTTCTCGTTTGAAAAAGCTTTACTTTTAAAAGTAATAGGTAATTGAGTGAATGTAAATGAAAATGAAATGTAAATCTACTTTGACCTTAGAGGATGGAAAAAATAAGTCTAAGGTTTTGATTTTGACCACATTTTGGCACTTGACCATTGACTTACAAATAAATGGACGACGGGTCTAATACAAAAACCACGAAAAAAATGTCCCAAGTCAACCTATATAAACGTAGTGGCATGTAAAGGAATATGAAAAAGCTAAAACGTTAAATTTAAATTGTAATGTCATCGCAGTACTGTCTAATTTTGCTTCGCTGTCAGTCGAACAAACGAAGACTAAAGCGTGAATGACGCTCTGTATACGATTTTAACGCCCTATAAGTTCGGACACTTTTTAGCGCGGACCCGACGTCCATATAATTGTAAGTCAATGCACTTGACATTATATTATAGAGATTCAGCCAGGGTGCGCCCTTTTTTTTATTCCAAGGTTTGCCATGTCAGTTTTTATGTTTTTTATTAACAACTATTTTCAAATTTCGAGTCAACATGGCATCCAATGTGACACTTTTTCATTCTACTTGAAATGTCCCTTATTTCACACATATATTTTTACAGCAATTGTAGTATTCAATATTATTAATTATATTATTTGGTAAACGCACAATAATCGATTACGATTTGTAGACTACTTTTAGAATGTAAATTATATAGCTCTTTAGATCTTACACCAAGTACCTACGTCAAAATATCTCTTGAAATAAATAACTACCAGGTATGTCTATTTCTTAGTAGTTGTATAAAAATCTTGTGTGGAATTTACTATTAATGTTTGGATGTTTTTTAGCTAAACGAAAGTGTCCAAATCAGCTTCACTATGAAGAAGGTAGGAGAGGATACCATTTCTATGTCTCGCAAGCGGGGAATGTCTATGTAAGTAATTGTATTTTAAACTGAAGCTTATTCAGACAGACTCGTTTGAAAATATTATAACTAAATCACTGATTTGGAAGACAATAAATTGTAAAAGGTTGCCCCATAAATGCGTTAGAGAATGGTAAAAAGTTATACGAAATAGAAGTCGTTAAAGTTAAAAAAATATTTTATAAAATAAATAAGTAACAAAAGATACGATCATAATAGTTAACTTCAATATAATATAAAAAATTACATAATGGTATAAAAAGTAGGTATCTACATAGAATAATCACAGTACACCTAAACTAAAAAAATCGACCTCAAACGTTCATGTAATTACATCTATTTGCCAAGTTTTATTTAAATCGGTTACTGGAAAGTGCGCAAACCCCGATTCATCCCCTAGTTCGCCACTACACGGGACTTAACACAGGAGATATAAAAATTGGTGCTCACTGCTTAAAGTATATTGAGAGAAAAACGCCTTAAATTGGAGCGTAGCAAAACCAACCATTAAAATAATTGCTCCGTATAGAATTTAGGTAATAAAAAATGGCTATTTATAAAAAAAGTCTTCATGCGTGAACATTCCGCCGACCGTTGAAAGCTTGCCTTTCAACCAGTAATACGAGTACAAGCTTCAAGAAGTGGACAAATTTTTGAAAAGCTACTTCTTACAATTTCTGTAGAAGTTTTGATATCTGCCACTCTACTGACGCCATCAGTGAAAGGAAACACCGAGTTGTAGCTCGACCCAATTTCCATTTTAACGGTGATAGATTTGCCTCCTTTAGGATTACTAGAGCGTTCATCTTCAATACAAGCACACGATTTAGTCCTCAGTTGAAGCTCTGAGACATATTCTTTGCTCCATCACCAAAAATGTTGTCGAGGTTTTTTATTTTGCTGGAAACGATTCAAGCTATTGTTTGGCACATCTTGATAATCCTGGCTTGGCAAGGAAGTGAGTAGTTTGCCGATGATGAAATGTCCTGGTGTCAATGACATTAGGTCTTCTGAATCGCTCAAGAGAGGGTAAGTGGTCGTGAATTGAGGATTGCTTCAATTTGGACAAGTGCTTTATAAAGCTCTTCAAAAGTTAAGTTACAATTGCCCAACACTCTTTGTAAATTATATTTGATCGACTTTACACCAGACTCCCATAGACCTCAGAAATGTGGCGAATAAGCTAAAATAAAACAAATTTATTTCTTCATTGGCGACCTCAGACGACAGCGAACCACAACTACTTTTTAAAAATTTTGATAGGTCGTAAGCACCAACAAATAATACCATTGTCGGAATATATGGTTTTGGTTACCCCCTACGCGCAATGAATCTGCGCAATGCTGATAAATAATTATTGCTGTCAAGACATCAACCAGTTCAATGTTGATAGCCTTTGTCGTGAAACATATGAAAAAGGCTATGTACACCGTCACCAGCCTACATCCACGACCTTGACGACTAGCATTTAAGTTCACTTATGTTCTTGGTTTGAAGCTTATATGTCCTCGAAATCCAGGTAGACAAAATCCGGCTTCAGTCTAGGACCATGTACGGGACTTAGCACAGGAAATAATAAAAATCGGCTTTCACTGCTTAAAGTATATTGAGAGAAAAACGCTTTTAATTGGAGCATAGCAAAATCAACCATTAAAATAATTGCTCCTTATAATACAATTTAGGTGCTATCTATAAAGATATGTCTTCATGCATGAACAGCCACATGGAATATTTTCTTCAAAATTAAATGGGATCAGTACTGAGGTACCCTCTTTCCAACAAAAAAATATACATCAAAATCAGTTCGCGAATTGTCGCGTAACAATCATACAAAAAAACATACAGTCGAATTGAGAACCTTCTCTTTTTTTGAAGTCTGTTAAAAATAACTGCCCAAAACTTTTACGCAATCGCTTTGATAACTCTTAAATAACTTTCTAAAGATGTTTCCTAAAATAGTGTACAAAATATATATTTGGGGAGTAAATAGGTAATAAATGGAATGTCAAAGACGTAAATGATATATTGTTAAAGCCATGTGAAAATAAGGGGTCAGCCAATCTGACTTCAGAATGACTTGCCAATTTATCCTTTAATATATTCATTAACACAAAGGTATTAAATATTTTATTATAGGTTTCAAATAGTAGCAAATAGGCAGTAAATAATGCACACAGTTTAATTTGCACATCTCATTTGATCCAAAAATCCTATCAGTCACGATTTTTTTGATGTTGCAATTTCTGCAATATGTTTCAATAAAACACTATTATCTAGAGTTTGACATAATCAAATAGTTAATGGTTAATGGAATGGTTAATATATTCTGGGACCTGATTAGTTGCGAACATTTTTGAAGTTTAAAAGAAAAAAAACCTTTCATCGGTCACCACTCTCATATGTCTCGGAATTGCGAGTTTACTTGTCCACTGCAATTGTAATATTGACTGTATTTTTCAAATTCGATTAATTATAGAACAATGAGTAGGTATGCGAATTTCCGCAAACTAAGATGACAGGCACGGGTAAAATATGCTAAAATGTCCCAAGTAAATCTCGATTAAAGCCGTAACAAAATTAAATGGATGCACGAGGTGTGTCACTTGAAATTGAGAAAATCTTACGACATCTCATTGTGATAAGAAAGATTTCTGATTGTTTATCTAAAAATTTCCAGGGCCCCTACCAGCGGTGGACGTCATGGTGACCAATGGCAATCCTTGATGAGAAAATTCTCTCAAGCTAACAAAGAGAAGTGCAAGTAAGGCTTTATTGTTTCTCCAAATATGGTTTATGATGAAGTCAAATACGTTAAATCTCCTCTTTCCTACTGATAGTAAAGCAACGTCAAACCAAGAGTGGATAAAACATAATATGACACTTACATTGATCGTATAGTACACGTTCAAGATAACATCGATCATTTAAAATGAAAATAAGACCATTTCATTATTAATTAAAATCGATAATCTTAATTCTGTTCAATAGGGCAGTACCGACAGACATGCCCAAAATTGTTCGTGGCAAGAAGATCTTTCCAACAGAATCCACTTACGAAGGATCCTGGAATATACTTGGGATGAGCGGAGATGGAATTTATTGTTTTCCTTATCCCGGTATGTACCTAAATGCCCCCGAAGTGGCCAGGACCACACAAACACCAGAACAATGATAAAATTCCTTAATTCAGTTTCTTCAAAGTATCTCAGAACAAAGTCTAATTTTACAGGTGTAAAATACGAAGGAGAGTTTGACGACGGTATGTTCCATGGCCACGGAGAACTAAAATACGCCAACGGAGTAACCGTTAAAGGAAATTGGAAAAAAGGTCAGGTGACCGATAGAAAAATAATCTTTGGAGACGGTCTTGAGTACAGCGAACATAATTGGGGTTACTGCAAGTCACCTGACAGAAGGTAAAGTTGAACTGGTCACAGTCCGTATCCCTATGCGATTTCCCCATGACTGGGCACTATGAGAACATATTGAATGTATACCTATATGTTTTCTTATTTAACATTACAAATGTTAATATACTGAACGTAATATCTTGGCATATTTTTACTTTCCGTCATGACTTTTTCATTTTATTTCTAACTTAAAAGTGCCTTGTTCAATCAATTTGCTGTAAAAACGGACAGAACTTTGACGCGTATCACGGTTTCGTGTTTTACCGAAATTGTGTGATATTTGTGACTGTAGTGAACTTATTTAGGTGAACGTCAGCGTTTTTGGATTACCACCATGTAAAAGAAACTTAATCATTATTGCTTGGAGTGATAACATCGTCCACTACTACCTTTTTATTGTATTATTTCATTACATTAATTTACCATCTAGAAAACTAGACCCACTTTAAGGGAGATTTTAACGCAGACACTAAAAAGATTGATGCTTGACTACGCGATAAAATAATAAAAATTTACGTGTAACTTAGGGGATTTTTACATCTTGCATTGGGATAGTGAGGTGTTAAATCACACTAGGTATTAGTTTAATCATAGTAGTCTGGATTTAAGCTTTACGCCACCAGTAACTCAAGCGAAAAGAAACAGGACAATAGTTACTAAAACTTGTAATTTTCAACCAGGTATACACTAGAATACGACCATGGGTTGAAACCCGGTGGGGACACATACGTTGCCAACGAACAACAATCGCCTGAGATACCCCCAGGGTACTATGATGTCGGTGACGGATTCTACGAGCCCATCACGAGAACAGTATACAAATATAACGACCTCACTGGTATTGTTAGGTGGGTTGTTCTGTTTATCGTTTGCATCAAACGGGAGCTACCTGGTCTGTACAGTTTAGGTAGTTTAATAAATTTTTATTTTAATAGGTCGCCGGATCTTCGTGAACAGAAATGGATATTAGAAAACTGTCGCACGAACCCGAGTCGTTCAGTGGGCCCGGTGCCGAATCTTTTCGAACATTGGTTGCAGCCTGATCTGGAGTTAGAGGTGCCACCGCCGCCAGCTGACCATCACAAGGTTCTTACTGACGAGCACCAAACTGTTAGTATTTTTTAAATTCACATCAGAACATAGACTTACTTACTTTTCGGTATAATTGTGTAAAAAGCACACATTGTTTGAATGAATTTTCGGAATTATTTTTGAATAATGCCTAAGTGCCTAGTAATTGTCTTTTATGTATACATTTTTTTTTGTATTGTGTTTATTCTTGCCTGGATGATGATGATTTTTCAGAATCGTCAAGACAGGAGGCATAGTACATTTACTGGAACTGATTTTCATTGCTCCTTCAAACACAATGACGAGAGCGATAGAATGTTCTGGAATCCTAGCGAAACAAGAAAGTTCTCTACCTGTTCTGTTCAATCAAATAAATTTAACGCTCAAAAGTCTTATTACGGCTCTCTCGGAACTTATATTGCCAACAAATCACCACGAGTACAACAACAATCACAGACCGTTTTGACATATACCTCAAGTGCACATAATTTGCATGACGAATACACCCACAGGAAAGTTTTTGAGTAAACTTACAACAGAAAACACAACTTACTTTTTCTTATTTTTATTTCGAAAGTTATATTATTTGGGTTCATAGAATACGTAGTTTTAAATAAATAACATACATATTTATTTTGTTTTGTTGTTTTCAATCGTCCTTATTATTATAGACTATAGAGTAGAACTAATAATAGCCTTTTTACTTGGTGGCTTTAAAATTACAACTTAATTTCATATCATAATATCGATATATGGGACAGAATCGTAGTCGCGGTTGCCAAAACGCAAACTCCGCATAAAGTGAACAGATGACTCGCATCACTAATTTACACGTTTCCACAAGCGGTAGTACCTCCTCTTCCTGCATGTTTGAACCATGTTTTAAGCCCTAAAGGTAACCAGAACACGTCTCAAACGAGAGAAAATTTAATTAGACAACTCCAATTTGACAACTAATTTCTCTTTCATTAATACATCCATGCTTTCCTCGTAACTGCAGGAGATAAAAGCATCTATGTGACAGAAACAAACAATTGCTTGATGTTTATTGCTCTCCATACCTTGATCAATGTGTAGGCCAAAACTGAAACTTTACAGGACTCGCGTTCCAACGAAGATGCCGAACGGAGCAATATTTGGAATCTTTATTTGCACCGACCAAGTATTCGAATGATTTCTTACCTTGCCAAAGCCGAAGGGAAATGGAAAACATCAAGAAGTTTTGTCATTGGAGATATTTTTCTTGACTACTAATTCTGAAAAGCATATATTTTCAGACTACTACTTACTATTTAATATTTTATCTACCTACTGCAGTATGTTACACTACGAAGGTGTAAGGATGTAACTAACCATAAGATCTCAATAACCTCGTTGAAGTTGTCACGGGCCTTTTGCGATATTTTCCTCCCATATATCGTGACGTAATAAAGTAGACTTATAGGGGAAAACGGGGTAGTTCGATATAAAGCTATGTCCACCACAGTGTGCTGTCACGTTCGTTATGCGTGTTCAAGTTTCAATTCGTCTCGCATCAAGTGTATACAATATTAATTGCCATAATACCAGTGCGCATCATTCAGTTGTACCATATCATCAGATTGGTACATATCTCGTCTTCCGAACCCCATTATTTTTTGTCACAACTTTTTGATGCTCTTTTGGGAAGCATGACCTCGAGCTCTTAGTCTTGTTTTTAACCGTTTTCACAAATTGTGTTTACGACCCGAAGAAATCACCGCGTCATCGTTTCTGTTTGTTTTATTTGTGTAATCTATGTGCTTCTGTTTCCACAGTAATTGATAAGTTCGAAAATCTTCTATAAATTCCCATGATTTAACTTTATCTTGCGTCATTTTGACTGGTAAGACGGACCGTTGCACGCGAACCCATCGGTATCGGCGTGCGCAAGGGGCATGCGCTACTACATACGCTATGGCACTCCACGCATGCATCAGAGGAAGGCGCAATAGGAAATTTAACGTTTCGTCCACCAGGATCTCCTAGCCCAATCCCCCAGGAGAACCTTGTGAACTCAGTAGTTCATCGGATTCCCCCAAACGCGGACACATAACGTTAAGCCCCATTCGCACTATGGTACCTTAAAACAACATAAGCTTACTGAAAGCGCAATGGTATGGGGTACATTCGTACACTCACATTATCTCTATAGCTTCAAACATAATTATTTGGAGTAACATTGAAACTTAGTTGTAAACATACGATGGCGCAGCTCGCCGTTGTCGCTCGACAGAACACAATGTATCCTCACAACCGCTGACTAAAAATATACGCGATACAAATATGAGTTTCGGTTTTAAAAAGTAAGATCTTGTTCAGAAGGAGCGAATTCATACGCGTCTCGAAAATGTACTCGACGCTTATACATCGCATCCACAAGCATCACGCGAGTTTAAAATTCGCGAGTAAATCACGTGCGATACGCCAGACCCACGCGCCAGAGAGTCCTAATACTAGAAACTTCTTGGTTACTTTTAATTTACGCACGAACTTTAAAGCGAGTGCACGCATGTAAAATGTACATATAAAGATGAAATAGAAAACAACCAGCAATATGAGTTATGAAATCTTTTGAGTACGCCAATAGAATTTAATTTTAGAAAGATACAAATATACTATTATCATTCTATCGTAAAGAATCGCATGTACTAGGTACATTCTGCTTTCCCTTCGTTTTCGTCTCTTCTAATGACGGTAAACTAGCCACAACTCCAGCTGCGGCGTCACAACTCCATGTTGAGTGAATCCGTCCTGAAAACGCTCGCGCGTCGAACGCTTGTTCTGGACGCAACAAACGTGCGTGTACGGGCGAGATAATGCGCGGCGAATTCGCTTCTTCTGGACAAAGCCTAAGGGTGCTGGTAAAATGACAGGCACATGGGACTGGTCAACTTATGTCTCAAGGTGACGAGCGCAATGGCAATGCACTTTAGATCTTTGTGATTTAAAGCCCTGAGTGGTACTGCAACTGTTATGGACAGGCATGTCGCTTATTAGGTAATACACCAGGCGCACGACTTGTTCGTCCCGTGCCTTTTTTTTTATTATGATACCAAGTGACTGGTATCATAATAAAAAATTACACATCAAAATGTCTCTTACGGTGTAACAAAGCACCCCCCAGGTGACGTAAAATTGCACATTACCCAATTTTTTGTTAAAATCCTTTCAATTATTAAATTATTTAAAATAGGAATAATAAGGATAAAAAGAATCATTATACTGTTCATTTAGTAGCCCAAAGTTGAACTTAAATAAAAGTTAACGAATCTGCCTCGCTTCCCCTAATGAAAAAATTTAATTATATTAATCTACCCAAAACTTTTTCATGGTCTACTGGTTAGTTGAGTTACTTACATTACGGCAGTTCTGATGGATCGTTGCGTAAAAAGAATAAAATAAATGAAATATTTATTGTAGTTAACAAAGCGTTCCATTGGATAAGATAAGGTTTTTAGAAGTTTTAATTTGTAACTAGTACGTAGCATCCTTAATTTTTATTTTATACAATTTTAATTATAATGCATTCTTAATAAGGTATTTATATAAAAGCATAATAAAATATTTGTTGCAATTATATTAAGTACTTTTATTGTCACGTAATCAATGTTTTTATGGCCTTTCCGCCAGATAATCTTGTGCACGTTTTCTAAATTCTCAATTTGGCGAGAATTTTGACGGGAGCATTTAGCTAAGAACAAACATTTAACTACACAGTTTTCCTTATGAAGCAAAATTAAACCTGCCTTTTTCATAAACGCGTCGAAGAAGAGTATAATATCTCTTGATTGTTACTATTGACGATTATTCTGTGGTTCAGTGGGCTTCTATTTTTTTATTGTACGTTCTTTAAAATCAACTTATTAAAGGCACATCGAAAGTGTCTAGGAATCAAGGTATTTTATTTTTAATATTTGATTACCCTATTAAAATTAAAAATATATTGATTAAATTATTTATTGATTAAATTATTTATTGATTTATTAAATTATGAAATTTACCACAAAAACCAACGGTGTAACAAAAAATAAAAAACATGATTTTCAGTGATTGATAAAAACGTGCTTGATCCCTAGACACTTGATGAGTGTAACTATTTTTTCATTGCAAATATTTTGATTGTTTGCAGGAAAATACACCGAATAAAAAGGTACAAGTAACTACTCCTGTGAATAAAATACTTTCAATCAAGCTGCATTAGTTTAGTTTTACCTTGATTTTTAAGTATACGATCTTACATAAATAATTATCAATGTTATTCTTAGTTACAAACATAATAAAGAATTTTTAAATTATTGAAAAGCATTTTAACTGTCTGTAAGACATTACCGTTTTTAACTTTTTTTTTTGTAAACAATAAAAGAGCAAATTGAACGTAAATAATTATAAATAAATATAAAAATCATTTATTCTCAGACAAAAATCAGTCCATAGTTTTTTACTTCAGAACTTAATTCCTATGTTAGTAACATTTACACGAAAGTACGAAAAGGTCGATTTATTTTAATTCATTTTTAATATTTTTTATTTTTTCCTAACTATTTTATACAATAAACCGACAAAGTTTGTAGAATTACGCTTATATGCCAAGTTTTATTACAGTGGGTTAACGGAAAGTGGGTGAAATAAACCGGATTCATCCCCAAATTTGCCACCCTTATAGGTGGAATATTTTCGTTAATTTTGAATGGAGCCACTACAGAGGAGCCCCCTTTCCAGCAAAAAAGGAATCTTCGAAATCTATTCACAAAATGTCGGAGTAATCGCGTAACATACACACAAAAAATGTAGTCAAATTAAGCACCACTTCCTTTATTTGAAATCGGATTAAACGTAATAAATTTATTTTTCAATTTCATACATTATTTATTAACATTTATGTGGTCTGTGATTAACAGGTAGATGAGTTTTACTCGATGGAGCTAGATAGAGAAAATCTGCATCAGGTTTGACACCGGATAGAGATAAAGATTGGTAAACTTCAATAGAATGACATGAGAGAGTTCTGAATTCATAGACTCTTTAAAATATTTGTCCATCTTGGAAATGGGGTTAATGAACTTCTACAGATTTAATGAGGAAGAAAAGTCAGCTGCAAAAATAGTTTAAAATTATATGGAACTAATGAGAATAAATAAAAAATATATATAATAAATATAATATTTCTCCCAGCAGTGAGTGCTAACCATAGATTTAGTACCTATATACTAATCTATAAGATTACGACGAAGAGTTGGGTACTCTATAAACTGTACTGGTGGCATCATCAGGTCAATGTATTGTAATGTCATCGGATTTTCATATTACACTAAATTTCAAATCGGAACTAAAAAAAGAAATATTCGTCTTATAAATTAAATTAAAGAATGACTAAGATCCCTACACTAACTCGAAAAATAGCTGATAAAAATAGCTTTAAACAGCTTAACCGATATTCATCAAACGGCTAAAAACCATCCCGTTTAAATTAGCCTTCAAATAAAAAAAAAATCACTGAGATCATGATGGGACCTACGATGCCACGAGACAAACATACAAATATATAAAGGCAAATTTATAACTTTTTGCGACGTATAAAATAACTTTTGTACTTCGTAATTTGTAAGTTTGGTAATTTTTATTTTATATAAAAAATTATTATAAGGCTTAAAAAATCTCTACGCGTCATTTGTTATTCATTTCATAGACTTTTTTAATTAAGAAATTTAGCAGCCGGCACGACCCTGGGCCCTGAGCTATTTAGTCGTAATTATCTTTCGCAAAATTAATGCAAATCAAGCAGACTGTCACGATTAGTGGTCACGAGCTGTGAAGCTGTATTTCCATTTCCTCAACTCCTTTGTTCTAAAATTCTCTGATAATTTATATCGTGAGACAATAATCTAATCATCTATTTTGATTGCTCACTGCACTGCTTGGCTGTACTACTTGTCCAATAGCCAATTTTACTCTAAGAAAATGTACCCATTATATGAGATTGTTTTATTAACTTTAATCATGAGAATTATAAATTCTGGGCAAGTTCTCTTTAATTTTCACTCATTAAAAGAATCAAAATAATTGAGTAATTTATAGGGTGGTCAGTAAAGAAGTTTTATAACCTACTCTAGAGAAAATTAAAGTTATGGGTCCCTTAAACGGTAAACTGCGTAGGTACAGACTTTTTTTTAACGCACACACTCGTAATCCCGCACTAGGGAAACCCAGTATCTCGCGGGTGCACTGCACATACATATAGGCAGACAGCCGCAAATTACACCCAAACTTACAAAAGAAATAAATGTAGGCCATACAAATATTTCTCCCGACTCCCGAATCGAACCCAGGACCTCTGCGTGGCAGTCCACAGTGGTAGCCGTTCGGCCACGGAGTCAGAGTTATCTTAAATATAAATAAAATCAAAACCAAAGAAAAAAGACCAACATGCAAGAAAAGAAATTAAAAGTAATAAAAATTCCCTGTGCTTCATTTCATAAGCGCTCATGTGTCATTTCTAGTATCTATTATACGTTTGTTCAGTTGTCGTCGTGTCGTTATTAGTGCCTATAACTTATACCTCGAATTCCACAAGCCACAAGAGCATATTTTTAACGAGATATCTTTTTTTAAATTTAGGAAAGCTATCAGGATTCAGGTTGTGTATCTAGGAGACGAGGATTTAGAAGACCTCTAATCACAAAGGCTTAGAAAATCTCTAATTTTATTATGACGAGTATACATTTAGAGATAATAAATTTTTTTAAAGTAAATAAGTGCGCATTTGACCGCCGTCTCCCCTGATGGAAAGCGACGATGAGGTCCACGATGTAGCAGTAGCATGCACACGTAAATAGTGCCTATTCACTCTCACCTTGAAGAGGCCCAAGTTATAGCGCTTTTATGTTTCAACTAAGCATCCACAAAATAGATGGTTTTGCTGGTCATAGACCATTATACCAGTATAAACGAAGCCGACATCATGTCATACCATTTTCAGAGAGAGTGGGGAGTGATTTCATTTTTAGCCTACTTCAAAAAAAGGAGGTTCTCAATTCGACTGTATTTTTTATTACGATTACTTGTTTTTTTTGTTTATTATTTGTGAACCGATTTTGATGATTCTTTTTTTGTTGGAAAGACGTTACCTCATTATTGATCCCTTTTAAATTTGAAGATTATTTCAAATTTAAAATATTCCATCTCCATGGGCGGCAAACTAGGGGATGAACCGAATGTTAAATTTTTAATTTCAGTTTGTATATATATATATATAATATATAATAACGCACACACTCAACATAGCCCCGCATTAGGGAAACCCTGTGTCGCGGGTGCCATGGACACACACATAGACAACCACAAATTACACCCAAACTCACGAGAGAAATAAATGTAGGCCATACAAACATTTCTCCCGGCCCGGGAATCGAACCTGGGACCTCTGCGTGGCAGTCCGGCATGGTAACCGTTCGGCCACGGAGGCAGTTCTATATATATAAGTTCATCTAATCTTAATATATATATATATTATATATATATATTAGTATAAGCAAAGTTTGAAGCTGGTTCCTTTTTTTTTAATAAAAATCACTTTATAATGCAATACAACTCTCGTACACACAACTAGAGATGGGAAAAACTGCTTATTTTTTTAAACGTTTAAACGTTATGCTTTTTCAAAAAAAGCGTGCTTTTTTGAACGCTTTTTTTTTCACTTAAACGCTTTTTAGTTTGAAGCTAACAAAATCGTTTAGAAAACGTTTAAGCACATAGACTTTTATGTTAAAAAAGCTTGCAACGTTGTGTTGATAGTGAAACGCAAGAGTAGGCCACTAAAGGTTTTAAGATAGGTAAGTTTTTTGTAAAAAACGAGTTATATTTTTATTTATGACATAACATCATTATATTAACATTTTGTTCATTGGTTAAAACGTACGTTTAAAAGGCGTGCTTGTAAAAGCGCTTTTCACTTAAACGCTTTTTAGTTTGACGCTAAAAAAGTCGTTTAGAAAAACGTTTAAGCGCATCTTCGAGGATGGAAAAAAAATAAAAGAAAGGAGCTGCCCTAACTACGGAATGAACGTGCATACCTAAACAAAAATTGAACGAACAAATGGCGGATTTCTTTAGTGTCGTACCATAATATATCGAAAAGTCATTATCGACATGCAAACATATAAAGTAGATCAATATTCCATTAGGGAATATTTTAGGTTACATGGGAATATCCAGGAATGTCACATGAAATTTTGAATTTATTGTTTTGCGTTTACAAATACTCAAATATTACGAAAAGTGAATTTGCACAGAAAAAAATAATATTTTGTAATTTGAGAGTATATAAAAAAGAGAAAACTTTTAAATATAAATCCTATATATTTCCAACCCCACGATTCATATTTTCATAGAGAAATTTTTAAACAGATTCCAAATAGTGTAAGTTTTTTCGTATTTATGCATTAGTATAGAATTAATATCAGTGACTGATTTAAGTGAATCTTTAATACTTCCATTTAATTTTGGAAATAAATGAAAGTAGTAATATTATCTATAATAATATTACTATCATACGTTTATTTGCTTAAAACTTGGCATAACTGGAGATGTAACAAGAGACAGTGCTAGTATAAATATGTTCGCATATATTAAATAGCATGCAAATGTCTGATTATACAATGTCAATTGACTACTATTGGCCGAGCGCCTTTGATTTGTGCAGAAAATTGACACTTCTCCGCAGTACATTGTACAGACACGTGTTATATCACACTGTCTATAAATCACACAAAAGCCCAAATATCTCGTGTTAGTAGACATATTTAAGTAGTTTATTCATAAATCTTGCCAAATATTGCTTTGGTTTCTTCAGATTGCCTGTTTGTTTGTATATTTTGATGATTGTTGTTAACGATTATTTTGAGATAGTGTTGTTCTTGGAAGCATATATATTATCGATATTCTGTTATTAAAATAATTCACTACGAGGTTTTTATTATTATTATTTTTACTATTTCAAGTTTACCTACAATTCAAAAAAGAATGGTTGGATATCATACCGCCGTGCCGAGTATAAACGTTGGATCAAAGACCATCTTCATTTGTTCGCTTCATTTTGAAGAGACAAATTTTAACAGAACTTTGAATGTAACTAGATTACATACAATGCTATTACATCATTAGGTTTATTGGTAAATAATTTTATGTTCAATTTAGATTAAACAAGACTCATTTACTGTTATTCTCAGTTCCTGAAAACAAAATTATCCATTCGTTTTTTATTTTTCCCAATGACAACTCTAACAGTTAATACATTTGGAAAAACATTTGTTTTGACATTTGATGTACTTCCCTTTGACAACGGTATCATGTACCTCATGTACTGAGAAATGGACACGGTTGGCATTTAAGATGACGTTACGTATTTTTGATTCCAGTGTTTGACACAGACCAATGTAAAGCTATCTCTTTTGGCTTAAGACGGCACTTAATACTTAAACATGTTTATGTTTTCGACGTCGAAATGCATCATATACATATAACGTCTGATTTATATATGTCAACGTAACATGTCCTTTAGTTTCCATAGTCTAAAGTCGAAATGCATCATATACATATAACGTCTGATTTATATAAGTCAACATAACATGTCCTTTAGTTTCCATAGTCTGAGGGTCATATTCCAGAACTGTACTCAATGTTTCAAGTCAGGATGTGAGCAGACTTGAGTATGATTTCAAGCACTGGAAATACTACCCTAATGGCAAGGACTTGAGTATGATTTTCAGTGCTCACTGCAATACTCAAGTCCTGACTTGAGTATTGAGTAGAGTTCTAGAATACGACCCTAAGAAGCATAGATTTTATGTTTAAAAAGCTTGCAACGTTATGTTGAATTAATTTGTTTAGGAAACATAAATGGCGCTACTTGAAACGTAGTATGCTGGTAAAAATTAAATTGTGAGTATCTATAGAACTGACCAGTGACCAAAGCTTACGCTTAAAATGAAAAGCGTGCTTATGCGCTTATTTTAAAAAGCAGACTTTTAAGTGCTTTTCGTTTAAACGCCCACCTCTACACACAACCCAGTCTATTCAACGGGAAGTTTCGGATGCCGATATCGTCGTATGGCTATGGCTAGAGATTAGTTTCGATCGCAATCCGATTGAGCATTGGTGGCTTGGTCAGATAAAAAGAAACCTCAAACAAAAATGCAATGATGTCAACAGCCAACTGGAGCTGGTCAGCATATTGTGTAATGTACAATTTGCATATGATACGGTAGATGAGGGAATTCTGGGATTGAGCAGGAATTTCCTGTTTTTTGACTAGTATCTAGTTATCGAGTTCTTAGGTTTTCGCGATTGTTACACATAGGAAATGAAACTGATAACGGAATCCTGGGCAGATAACGGACTTCTTTTGCAAGGACCTGGGGTTTGTCAAACTTCATTGAATGTGTAGGTTTATCCTGCGAGCATGTCATGGATAAGACTTCAGTACTAATTAATATGTTTTAGTTTATTCTAATTTCTATTAATAATTAATAATAAATTAAACTTAATAAAAATTCATTCAATAAAATAATTTGTAAAACTTAATGTATCGTAAATTGGAATGTTTTCTTTGTAAAATTAAAAATAAGGTATTTAATTAATAAGTATTGTAACTATAGTGAAAAAATAGGGTGGTTTGCATTAATATTAGACATAACTGGTTGAAGACTGTACCACCTCAGTCAACCGTGACCATGGGACCTGTAAAGGGCCCGAAACGTTGGTTTGTTTGAAAAAACAAATATACGCGATTTAAATCCGGAAAAATAGTTTCATTTCCTAGTATCTAGTTTATATAAAGATCCTTTCCCTGGCAATGTTAATTGAACCTTAATCGAAAGCGCTCTAAATAGTAGATATCAAAGAATAAAGATCGGTATTTGAGGAGGAGCAACTTACTACTAAGGAAAAAGTAGTCTTAATGTGAAATATGAAAACTAACACGTCTAAGTGATAAAATCTTACCATTTATTTATACAAGAAAGAGGTAATCTATAACAACATATAACCCGTTGTATAGGTTTCTACGATCGTTGGGGGAGTCATCCCAATTATTAAAAGAAGATTTTACAGAAAATACACGAAATAAATTACATTATCACGAATAACCAAAGCAAAAGTGGAAAAAAATTTAATCAATTTTCTTGTAAGTTTTTTTTTCCTGTTTCTGGCACTTCGCGGTTTGCGTTTGTGCCGCTGTGAAACGGGGAAACTTATTTACGGAAAACAATGGAAAGGTAATATAATTTGGCAGAAAGGATCAAAGAAGTGCGAAGGCGATTAAGGTTAAATAAAAATTCATAGACATAAAAGTATATATCATAAAAAGGTTATATTTATGATTTGATATAATTTAAAATCTCGTAGCCAAATATTTATATTTTACGACTGTTAAATGACAAAATAATAGTCAAAAAAATAATTAGTAGGAAGAGGAAATCCAATGGAGACGAGGACATGGAACAAAAAGGAATGACGTATAAAGGACAATCATAATTGAGTACAATAATTTTTCATTAAATTAATTATAATTAATTATACCCCTATCGGCCAAGTCTAATTTAAATGTCTTCCAAACAGGGAGTAAATAATTTGAAAGATATAGTGTCCTGTTGTGGCGTTGTCTTACGCCTCTCCTCACACGGATATGTATGATATAACCGAGCATATGCTCGGTTAGCTCACTTGCAATACAGCTTTACTGTAAATCTCTCGTAGAAGCTCCACATACCTCATATCTACAACAAAGATTCTTTGTAGCGACTGTAACACAGCACTTTATATACTGAATACTGTTGTATTCATAAAATTTCCTTTTTTCCATCCTATAGGGTAAAAAGAAGACCAAGGTTGCCAATGCCAATTGTTCAAAATCCCCAAAAATCACGGTTAAAATCACCAAATTTCGGGAGAGCAAACTTCATATTCCCCACAAATTCCCCACATCTCGAGTTTTCATTATTTACTAGAAATGCATCCCTTAAAAATATAATAAAGAATTAAGACACTCAAAATGTAACCATCTATTACGTTTGCTGTGAATTTAAACAGAATGTAAAATGTGAAACTAATTATAAAATTAGATGACCTTAAATCGTTTAATTATTTTAATTAGATTCAACATTAATCAGTGTTTGAAAAAAAATCATTTTGCTTTGCCTTACAAAATTAAGTAAATTGATTATTTGTTGTGGATTTGGTGACACTATATTAATGTTAGAAATAATCAATGAGTTTCGACCTATATTTAATATTTAAAGTTGACGAGTGTTTATTTGCTGTGTGGAAGTACCAATTGCTCGGCTTCGTTTATCAATAGCTGATTTCGTTTTACTTCATACCGGGGACCGGCCTAAGCGGGAGAAAGAATCGCGAACTCAACACGCACCGACTGGTAATTTTACAATTCAGAACCAAGTACTCTAATAATAATTCTATTTAAGCTGCTTGTTAATAATACGAGGGATGTGCGATGTTGAAAAACACGTCGATATAATTTATCACAGTGTTTCTAACAGTAACGATCAAACTAGGCAAAATAGGCGCTTTGTCGTCGAGTTGCGGATATCAGCCCGTTGCACCAAGTACCAAGTACCAACGATCAAACTAGCGATGCATCAGCAATTAATAGATTAAACAAAATGATAAAATGTCAGAATCCCCACATTTTCCCCATATAGCGCCAATCCCCACTAAATTCCTAATATAGTTGAAATTTCCCGCAATTTGGGGAATTCCCCACAAATTGGCAACGCTGAAGGAGACAATAAAATAAAATAAAATGGTAACACTAAAAAAACAACAAGCATGGACCATGAACATCTTTTTCATGTAGTGCGGTTGAGGTTTGCATATTCTTCAAAATAGATCGATAATTTCATTTTCATAAGCAAAATATTGTATTGTTGGCAAGTTCCTATGAAGTTTAGAGTTAAATACGATTTATTAAAATCGTATAGCTTTAGAACTCAGAGTTTTGTTGTCTAATTTGTTTTAATGATTCAGTAGTTCAGGTTATATTTTTGCTCTAATCACAGCTGTGATTGTTTTATTTCTTGTTGGAAGACATAATGATTTCACAATGAAGTGTCACTACGAAGTTTTGGGTGTGGAGAGGGATGCGAGCAGCTCGGAAATTAAAAAAGCGTATCGCCGTATGGCGTTACAATGGCACCCAGACAAGAACTTGGATAATTTACAGGAGGCTAAAGACCAGTTTCAGCTGGTACAAAACGCGTATGAAGTGTTATCTGACCCACAGGAACGAGCTTGGTAAGATATTTTATTGATATTCATTTGTAATCAAGGTATTTCTCTTTCACAACAGCCTTGAGAATGCAGATATTAAATACTTACCATTTATCGTGCTGACACATTCAATAATACTTTACTGGTTTTAAAAATCTACAAATTGGGTGCCTATTATTCTAAAACTATTTCTATCATGTGAGGAATCCATTGTTAAAGCACATTCAATTTGAAATTATTAATTTCACTGCATAAGTTTACATAACATAACATAATTAATATATAAATGCTAACCATTAAATAAACATAATTAATGGTTAGCATAACATTTATTTGAATTTGATGATGTTATGTAAATCCTTTTTAAAAATGATTCTTGATTTCTTCACTTACCAAATGTTTTCTACATGTTCTGGTAGCTCTAATATAACCAATTGACTTTTACCTAAATCTATAACGCTGTAGTTAGGAGATTATGTTATTTTAAATTGTTCCTTCCAGTTGAGAAGTTGTATTTCTGGGACTTGTTTTCAGTAAAGAAACACAAATGTGTATTATAATGTTAAAAGCATTGAAGACATGTCCCAATGCAAGAATGAAAAGTTAGTCTGTGGAGGCCAAATGCTCACACAATATAATATCAATAATTCCAGGTATGACAATCACAGAGAGCAGCTGCTAAGAGGAGCTGGCAAGTCATACAACGATGACAGTCTTGACGTGTATCCGTACTTCACTCCGTCATGCTTTAGAGGCTTCGGTGATGATCCCCAAGGTTTCTATGGAGTTTATTCTGAAGTGAGAACCTTAGGTTTTTATTAAATGTGTATAAACTGTTAATGAATTTTTTACTTGATGCCACATTTCTTGTTTTATCTATTTTCAACACAAAACAGTCTGGTTACTTTTTATTCCTGTTCTCTTAGCTGTACCTTGTGGAACTTCTGTTTTGGTTTTTTCTGTACCATACTATACATATAACATACTTATAGTTTTTGCATTAACAAGAATTTCACATCCTAACAATTAAATTTCAGGTATTCTCTAAATTAGCAGCAGAAGAAACTGACTTCCTCGACGACCCTGAGGATGTAGAGAAGATCCCTAAGTTTGGTAACTCTTCTACTCCATATGAAGAAGTTAATGAGTTCTATGCTTATTGGATGTCATTCTCTACTAATAAGAGTAAGTTTGTCGACTTAATCTCTCAGTCATAAATAAAATGGTTACATTTATCAACACTAAACAAAGTCCTAACAGATTAATAACGACATATACTTTAGTCAGTAGACAGGTTGATAAGTCCAGTAAATATGTAATGAAACCTTAATTTTAGACCAGAACAAATATTTAATGATTTTAAATATTTTACACTGTTCTCACTTATTTTTGTTAACATTGTTTACTAACCTGCACAGGCTATGTGTGGCTGGATGTACACGAAATCCAGCAGCGCGACAACCGCAGAATAATTAAATTAATGGAGAAAGAGAACAACAAGATTAGACAGAAAGCCCGCAAAGAGAGAAATGAAGAGATAAGGAGACTGGTTAGCTTCGTAAGAAGGAAGGATAGAAGAGTCATTGAGCATACGAAGTTACTACAAGAGAAAGCTGAGGAGAACAGGAAAAAGGTATTGCATAAATTGATTTATAAAATGCTTCTTGATTTGGTTAGTAATGGTATAGCAGATATACAATAAGCATCTGGGCGAGCTCTTTCCATTGTAGACCCTATCTTTGTTCCAGGGCTAGGTAGTCTATTTCTAGCAAGTCCATGCACTTTAAAAAAATTACAATTAATTATTTTTTAATACTATGAATCAAATTTCAGGCAGAGCATTTGAGAAGAGAAAGGATACTTCAAAGACAGAAGGAAATAGAAGAAGCAAAGAAAAAGGAAGGCGAAAGTTCCATCCTGCAAAGCGCTGAGTATCAAAAGAAACTTAGCGAGATTGAATCTCTGTTAGCTGAGGAGTTTGGGCTATCTTCTGATGACGACACTATCAGCGAAGGAGGCATGGAGAGCAGTAATGAAGAGAGTTCTAAGACTGAGGAGGTACGCCATTGTGAAAAGGCTTTTTTCCGCCCTCCACATTTAAAAGCATGTTTTATGCATGCAAATAAAATTTAAGTCATGTACTCACAATAGACAAATGTGTGAAACAATTTTTAAATTTTTTGAAGAATCTCAATAATTTTGGAAACTACTTTGTAGTAATATAACATTACGCATAATTAAATCTCTTGTATTTAAAATTAATAGCTTCCTGGTATTTAAAACATTATTTTTTTGTGAAACTTGTTATTAATATCCAAATAATATTTCTTTTTCAGGCAAGTGAAGCATCAAAAGCAACAGCAAAGTCTACAACGAAGACAAAAGCAGCTATTAGAAACCTATATTGTTCAGCATGTAACAAATTATTTAAAAATATTAAGTCATTTGAAAATCATGAAAATAGTAAGAAACATAAGGAGAATGTAGCTAGTATGACAATGGAGGATGACATAGATATATCGGAGAATGACAATGTTCATGAGCCTATGGTAGCTCCAGTTGACAATCTGCATGATGAAAGCAAAGTGAATGGTCAAACAGACCCGGAACATGAAGAAAACTTAACATCAGATATTGAAGACAATGATATTAGAGAGACTTTGAGTGATGATTCTGATAAGGTAAAGGTATGTAATCATAGTTTATAATAGTCAACTTACTGAGTGTAATACTGTTTGTTAGTCTAAAATTTTGAATTGAAATAAATATCTATAATTTATTTTATTCTATTGACTCTCATCATTGTACACCAAATTCATAATTTTAGTGCTGTTATTAATTTGATGGATGATGATTGAGAGTATACCTTACGTAATTATTTTATAGGCACTGCCCAAGAGCCAAAAAAAGAAGAAAAATAAGAAGAAGTCCTTTATCGCTATGCCAGAGAGTGAAGGCAATGATAGCCATGATGAAATGAGTTTCAATGAAATTGAAGGCCCATCTCGTAGTAGAAAAGCTAAGAAGTTCAACATGCTCAAAAGTCAAATACAAGCTAAGAAAGAGGCAAGTCTTAAAAAAGGATCTCAATCACAGACTTCTACAGAGAATTTATGTGAGGTGTCAAGTACTACACCCACGGATGATGCTTTAGGAGATGCTGCTTTACCTAAAGATAAGCCTTCTTTGCCAAAAGTCCAAAGGCTTGGTAAGCCTAAGAAACCAGTAGAGAGAAAACCGGCCAGAGTTAGGACGACAGAAACTGAAGATTCAAGCACAACATTAAATCTAAGGTGTGCAGTTTGTCAAGCAGAATTCTCATCAAAGAATAAATTATTTGAGCACTTGAAAACAACAGGCCACTCAGTGCCTCTACCGCAAACTAGTTATTCTCAATCAAAGAAAGGGAAGAAAGGAAATAGGTAAACTGTGCTGTGAAATTAGATAGGATGGAAGGTATGAAATTAATCAATGAAAATCAAGATTTTGATTTTCTTGAAATCTAAAATTGACTTATCAATCTATTTATTGAAATTATGATGATTGTCATAATTAAAAATTATGCCTAATTAAATCAATGTTCTCCTTTAATTTTTCCCTTAAATTTATTAAAAACCCGTGTTATTTAAGGTAGAAATATATTTATTAGTTAATATGTAAAACACAATCACATTGAAATAAAGGAATTGCACTTCATGGCATTCATAAATTTTAGTTCATAGTTAACAAATTTCCTGCATGCATCCTTATTTACTGAATTCCTGATGAAACCCAACATGCATTTTCCACTAAGCGGCTGGACTTATTTGTTCAAATAAGTCATTATACCATACCCCTTGGTGCAAAACAGAGTCGCGCGTGGCTAGTCACTTAGTAGAAAATGGCACTAACCCTTAAGAGCAGTTACACACGGCGACAGCTACAGCAATACAGTCACTAATTGTCAACGTTTACAGTCACGCGTTACTTGAGTCACCATATGATAGCTCTGCAAGTTTTTAATGATTCAACATAAGCAATTGCATTGATGGAAACATGTTTGCATCAATGCAACCACCTATAATCTGCTCTAAGTTGACAACAACTCAAAAGCATGAACAATAAGATTCAATCTATTATTATACAACAGACTATGAAACTAACAGCAACTACTATAGGTTTTACTAATAATAAACTTATACATAAAATATAACTTAAGAAGTTGTGTCTGTATACTAACAATTATACATATAAAGTGAAATTTACAACTATAATAATTAATCTGCACAACAAATTCATTCAAACTCTGGAATATCAGAAAAGCTATAACCTGGGTATTCTTTGTAAGCGTAATAAGCTATCCTAATGTGATATGCTCCTGGTAGGAACATGATACCACCTAAAACAATCATTGGCCATAAACGGTCAGAGTATTTTGTATCTATGTGACCAGTGACAATTAAACTACCTACTATAAGTAAAATTGTGCCTACAATAAAAAGGAATGTGGCTAATGTAATGGCTTTCCAGGGGATTCGGGGTGGTGGCAAATCGAATTGAGCGTCAGAGAAGCCGCTGTCATCGGTTGGGACTTTTGCATAGCCGTCGTGCTGACGTCCAAACCTGAGCCTCGACATTTTTAACTTATTCAGATGGTCTGTAAACAATGTAGACATTTCGTAAGAAAATTAAAACGGCCTTTTTCAAATCTTGATTGGAAACTTAAATGCAGACTTTGTTTATAACAATTTTTGTAAATAAATAACCCGAAACGATATCACATAGGTGCTCACCGCCTTGTAATTCGTAGTATTGTTTTGCTTAGGCAAGTACTTTAGTATTCGGCTTCATAATGGATAATTATTATAAAATAAATAAGAATTACAACATTAATGAGAATTACAACTTAGTGTAACACAATGCAATGTGAAATGTAGCTCATTAAACACTGATTTCGTTTCAATGTGCTTATAAAAATCAAAACTGCAAAACAATATTTACCGTTACAGTCGAAAGTGAATTAGTAAATGCACCGTTTGACCACAATTCTATTTGATTTGAAAATTATCAAACGAATTGTTTTCTGATAATGTCAGTGTCAAGTGGCGTCAAATGACAGCTGATTTTTTTTTAACAGCTGATGAGAGGAAAGTGAGAGCTGTAAATTTTTTTTCTGATGTGTTCGGATACGAGGCGTGAAATAAACGTAAATCGGATACTTACTGTCTATTTTTTGAAATAAAAAAATATATTTTTTTTACAACAGAGACGTAATACCAACCTGTGATATGTGTTACTAGAGGCGTCATTTAAATAATTTAAAATCCTTATAACTTAAAAACTACTGTAAATCGTCACTTTACCGTTCCATAGCGTTTATACACCTGTAACCAAAACAGTATAAAGTTAGCACCTGAAGTTAAGTAGAAAAGAATAAATATTTACAATTTTTTTTGTTAGATCTGTTTTCCTTTTGTCCACAAATTTTACTTGATGAAAAGTAAAGATGTCGACGAAACCTACGGTACATATTTGCCTAGGTAATGGACTGTTCACTCTGATCTTAAAAGTCTAAGTATTCTACCCGGAAAAACTGGATCCAGTAAAAACTACCTCCACAGCGGTTCGCATGGTGAACGACCGTGAAAGCTTCTTGCTAATATTGCAATATATATAATATATATACATTGCAATATAATAATATAATAAATATAATATAATACATAAAGGACTGAAATCCTTGCGTTTGAGGAATGACATAAAAAAGCTGCCAGAAGTAAATTACGTAAAACCTACCTACATAAACAATAGTGCCATTCAACAAAACATACAATACATTCAGTAAGTACATAAAATTTATTGTTAGATTTACCAGCTCCATCTATAGGGGGCCACTAAACTTGCAAAAATACCCAATCGTAAATTAATATTATTTATCTCTTAACTTCCTACAATGATTTGTCCACTATTCGCATCGATTATAATAATATACTCGATAACTATTCATGCCATCTATAGGTACCTTATACGTACAGGGCGTTCTACGGCTACAGGACACAGACGGAAACTAAATATTGTAGATAGTTATAGTAGATATTTTGCTTCATAAAAACATTTTATTATTAAAGGTACGTAAATACTGCATTCAAAGACTTTTCAAAATTGTTTGTCCTATCTGAGAATCGATCTCCTCGGTGGCCGAACGGTTACCATGCTGGTGTTACAAGGAGCTCTACTGCTACTAAAAAACGACGGGTGAAGATCGTATTCAACATGAAGTATTCATTACAATGTTTTCCTTCAACATTAACGAGAGATAACAGTCAGGAGCGCGTCAAGCTTGACACTTTGAACTTTGGATCGTTCTTATCGTAAGCTGCATAGAGTTGGACTTAAATATGAAGTGTCAAGCTTGACGTACTCTTCACCCTGTACTTACTAAATGTTCATAAATGTACATAACTATGAAATTAAAGTCATGGCACATGACTTTCCACATGGATTCAAACCGCAGACCTCTCAATACAGCAACAACAATAAATGAGTTATTGTATTTACATACTCTCGCAAATCTCTATATTTCTAAATTCTCTGTCATCAGTTTATAGAATTTCGGTTGAAATAAATTTTAAATATATTGTTGGGTAATTTTCAGGTTACTTTTCTCTCCATAATTTCGGTGGAAATCTTTATTACTTATAATCTAGAATATTATCATAGAGTAGTACTTAATATTCGAGAGTAGTATTCTGAAATATTATTTAATATTTAACGATAATACACTCGAATACTTAAATAATAAAAATTGCCACCAAAATTAGGTAGAGAAAACTAACCTGAACGTTACCCAGATCACAATTTAAAAGTGGCTGTTGCCTAATGCGAGAACCGTTGGTAATAGTGGCTAATAATATTTAACAAAACAGTATTTTCTTTATCACTAAGCCAAAAACAATATTGGCGATAGCAAAATTGATACACCACCTCAATAATATCACACAACCTATCGATTTACAAGCCAAATTCCGTTGTTTACCAATTTAAGCCACTAAAACATAAATCACTCGAAACAATCCATAGAACAAACAACTAAGGATATTTTGGCTCAGTGCCAAAAGTTTATCCCGTAAAATGGGAAGTCCTGTGTGACGCAACTGAAGGCCTGCAGCAACCTTGACCTGCTGCAGTCTGCAGCAAACATATGCGATAATAACACCCTTCAAACTAATTTTGCTGCATTGTTTTCGACTTTCGTTTCAACCGAATTTTTACAGTCTTACATTTACAACCACTGTCTAATATAATATTTTTAATATTTATAATAATAATATTTATAATATTATAATATTTACATTTTAGTTTAAGTGGTGGCACTGTCTAATATAATATTACTTTTTAGTTTAAGTGGTGGTTTGTTTTATTGAATTTAATGGACGGTAAATAGGCATTAACGTACACTGAGATGTCAAATTATACTTTGGGTAATTAATAGATAAATGTAAAACTATAGTAAGCAGAGACAATAAAAAGAGCCGCAGCATTGTTCCTTACCGTATATAATAATCAATTATTAACAATACCGACCGAGAACAAAAGACTATCTGGTTAGGTACACCTACACATTGGCCAACCGTAGCAGCGCAATACGGCGCTACAAACGCAATGCTACTTTCCTTTGTATCAAAATGTATGAAGGATCACCTACAACGACGTCTACGTTGCTACGTAGTATATCGCGTAGCCGTAGATCGTAAATAATTGAAGGTACCAAAAGAATCAAGAAGTGTAACTATTCTAACTTTTTGAATTATACTAATGCTTTACTGTAGCACTAGAAAAGAATTGCATAATCTTTATGAATTAATCTAATTACTTTTTTCTCAAAAGTGGGCATTTACTTTTTTTGTTCTCGAAGATTAATCGTAATAATTTTCTCCGAGAGAGACACAAAGAAACTGTGCAGCTATTTTGAATACAAGTTCCCTTTAGACAAATAATAATGAAGGCTACCTACAGATGTATTTGCCACTAATTACGTAGGACAAGGTTACAACAATGAGTTGAAGTAAATTATTTATTTATATTTGAATAAATTAAATTAAATGTACTTAATAATTTTATGATTAGCTGTGGTCGGAATAGAGTGTTCCTAATGCGTAGATAAATGTCTACATATAGATACAAAGAGTGACATAAAGTAGCTAAAACCCCCAAATAGTAATTTATTCCTGATTTCCGAAAATAGTTTTACTGCATCGTAGAATAACTACTCACCTAAAAAGCAAAGTCATTATAGTGTTAAAAAACCAATGCACCATGTAAAAAATGACTACATATTTGCATAACCTTTCACCATAGTAAACATTTTTTATGAGCTGCAATAACTTGTTTTAAATTATGCGGATATTATAAATACTTTTATAAATATATTCACGCATAAGATACAGTAAAGCTAGGTACTTCAGGAAATCCGGAAATCGCAAAAAAGTAATTAATTCATATTAGGTGGTTTTAACTATTCAGTGTCATTCTTTCTATCTATATGTAGACATTTATTTACTCATTTGGAACACCCTATTCCGAACACTGACGATTAGTCACCAAATTGTAAGTACCGTGTGTTAAAGTTGTTTTTACATGTGAAGTATCTATTATAATACCGTTTATATTTATTATTTATGTTACAGTAGTAGGTACATACATAAACCTAAGTAGATTAGAAAATAAATTCTTACATAGTAAAATAATAATTAAAACTGAATGTTTACCCGGCTTCGACTCTAATGAAATCTAATCAAACACATAAAGAAAAAGTGCACTACTTTAAGTTGGGAGTTCGTGAAGAACTAGAAAATATGTTTTCGTGTGTTTGGACTATTAAGCTCATATAATAAAAGCTAGGAAACATAGTTACATCACTCCATAGGCATAGAATGTTAACTTGTTAACAAGCCGTACATAGCAACAGTAGTATGGACGCCATTGCTGGCCGACCGCCAAAACAAAGAAAGAACTTTGCGCCGAAAGGAGAAAGTGCCGCCAATCGATATCGCCCCCTAACAGCTGATTCCGACACCCTCCCCACACGCACAAAGGACCTTGCATAATTTTCTTATAGTAATTGGAACAATAGCAAAATATTATACGCAACGTACGATTCTCACATGGTTATCATTAGTAAATTAAATAAATAGAATATAAGAAAAGAGCATAAAGTGAGATTTTACAGTATTTAACTACTGACACTCAGCAGATATATCTACTTTAGATCGCACACTAAGTTGTTAATTGGCGAACAGTAACTGTACCTACTTAGATAGAAAAAACATTCAAAACCACTACATTGAAAACAAACATCGAAAAATCATATCTCACCTCAATATTTATGCAAATTCAGGACAATATAGCACATGAAGTGACGCTGCGTGTTGGGGTATGGTTAGTGTAATCGCTTGCGGCGTGCAGGGGCGCATGCGCGGTGGTGCAGGAGCAGCGCGCGCACCCCGCTGGCTGTCACGGGCCGGCGCCGGGCCACTCCGCCGGCAAACCGACCTCGAGGTACACGCGCGCCCATCGCTCGCAACGCCAAGCAACGCCGGCCCCTCGCGGCCAGGAGCCCTCCAGGCGCCTCTAACTGCCTATTTAACTCCACTCAATCCACCAGCGAGGGCAAAGCGCCACGGACGCCGGCGTTTGCACACTAGGCTCGCCGGACAAAAGGTAAATACCTACTCATTATACTTTTCAAATGACACGTCTAAATTACTCTAAATCATATTCCATACTGACTAACAGTGGCCACACAATACACACGCAAAAATTCTCCCTACGTGAATTTAAATGAAGAGTCGTGCTAAAAGTTAGGGTTGCTGCATTACGACAAAAGACTCGAGCGACAAATCAACCGTTTCTCTTTATACTTGAACTCATATGAAAACATGCGGATACTAATCCCCCAATGACAAGTACAGTTGTATTTGACCTTACTTCATTACGGCTTCACTCCATCCCTTCTTTATATCATAATGCAGTTTGTGGCATACGTACCAAGTAGGTACTTATTTTCTCGTATTCATTTCACATCGTCAATTGTCATTTCGCTTAACAAGGTTTTGGTGTTGTTCCCATAATATTCATTTGTGTCAAACAGCAATGCCCGAAATGGTCGGAAGTTGTTACGTTGAAAGTAAATTGATGCTAATCGAACTAGCTTTCTGCATAGAATTTATGTCGTCAATACTACGTAAGAGCTCGCAACATTTTGCTGTAATACATTAGCGAATAATCTATGATAAAAGAATGGTGAAGAAAATAACTGTTACTGTACGTGTTAGAATTTGTTATAATTCAACTTCATTAAATACCAAATACAAAATTTGATTTAATTTCTGAAGTGCATATTGTACCAAACCAATGTTGTTAAATATTTTAGGATTAAAATTATTATATTTTACAATTAGACTTTCACAATAACTCCGAGAAATTCCCATTCAAGAACATTGCAAAAAGTAATAAATGAAACCTGTAATTTTTGAACCACGTAATAAAAATTCTTGTCAATAATATCCGATATTATGATTGGCCAAATCATGATTCGAAGTATAGTAGATTATAGCTATTTTAAACATGGTCAGAAAAGATGTGAAAATAGGCAATAGGTCAGACAGAAAATATTGATTGATTAACTTGCAATTACAATAGGAAAATTTCGTTATTTTTACAAATATTAGCAAAGTATATAGTTTATTAACTTATGTTTGGGATGGTTTTTGGTAGCAATAGCAAAAAAAAGGGTTTACACAATGTTTTCCGGAAGATGAACATTTTATAAATAGGCAACTTAAAACTTGAAATGTACTTAAAATGTCAACGTGACAAAACTAACCAGTCGGTGGCACGTGATTGATCAGTTTCTTATATCGTTTTAACTGCTGATATTGAAAAACGCTCACTGAATAAAAACCGCACCCCAATATCGAAATATATGACTCACTAAGTGCAAAGATCATTCGTCTGCCCTTGCCAGTCGTTCCCAAAAAACTAGGCTACTGAGACACCCCTATTAATTCCATATCGATTTAAGACGAATTTGACAAAGGGCGATCTTAGTATTTAAAACAAAAGAAATAAATATAAAAGGCATTAATTTCTCCACTAGACAAAGAAATTATAACATTCTTTTCATTCTTTTTAAAGTATACTGTCAAACCTTCTACACGTGTAGCCTGTGGGTGAAATATAATAAGGTGACCCTAAACACGCTGAGGGTATAATATAACAACGCGTTTAGGATATTGTTGGGGTTACCACGACACTGTAGCGGTTCAGGCATGTTCGCTGAGACACGCACATATGGCTTTCATGCCATTCTGAGGAAGCGGGTTGCCTCGCTTTGGCGACGTGTGCGCGGGTGCCCCAACAGCATTCTAAAAATTGTGGTTGATAAGATTGACTGCCCCATCCAGGCCCACTGGATGAAACTTCATGTGGCGGTTTAGTTTAAGTTTACATAAGTGTGTTAGATTAATTTCAATTTTATAATTTTGTATTTAATGTTGTAATTCGTGGTTTATTTTTGAATTTTAATTGTATAATTATTTTTTTTAACATTATCTTATTTTATTTCAATTTTAGCATTTGAATAGCATCATATACTTACCTTATTCCTAAGTTCTTTACTAACAAACTATAGATAACTGTTGTTGGTCCGAAATACAGTATTATTATTATTATTATTATTATTAGCACACTAGTATAAAATAAAAGTAACAAGAATAATCTCAGTACAGAGTACTAAAAAAACTGACCTCAAAAGTACGGGGAACTACATCTATTTGCCAAGTATTATTGAAATATCCCCTAGTTCGTCACTATACAGGACTTAACACACGAGATAATAAAAATCTGTTCTCACTCATTGACTTAGTAAGTCAATGGTTCTCACTACTCAATGTATATCGAGAGAGAAAAACGCCTTGAATTGGAGAATAGCAAAACCAACCATTAGAATAATTGCTCCATGAGTAAAATTTAGGCGCTATTTATAAAAATGAATGTTCATGCATGATCCACCCTTAGAGGTGGATGATTTTCGTCAAAATGAAATGGGACCACTATGGAGGTACCCTCTTTCCAACAAAAAAGCATCATGAAAATCGGTTCACAAATACCGGAGTTATGGCGTAACATACATACAAAAAAATATACAGTCGAATTGAAAACCTCCTCCTTTTTTGAATGCGGTTAACAAAATGGTTAAAGATTCGGCATGGCTGATTTCAGTCTACATCTGTAGCTATTCGCTTACTATACTTGGTTTATGAGCATAGTGTACACCAACTATACCTACATTAAGTTCACAGGCTGTCCATTAACGCTGCTTTATAATTTTTGAACCTAACCTTGTAGAACATTTTTGAGCATTTAGAAGAAAATCATTTTACATGACCATTGTGCTACCTTCTCAAGATTCTGATTGAGTAAACCGACAGCATGATGAACATTACCCCTAGACAGGTCCGCATGATCAAGGAATTGCGTGTTATCTGTATACATATACATAAATCCAAAACCTTTATGGAGATCAGAAATATAAATAGAATAAAGAGTCGGGGAAAGAATAGGTCCTTTTTAGTAGGAACTATTTTATTTTTGGACGACTCCAGTTTCTTGTAGTATACGAGAGTATATCACAGACCACATAAATACTAGTAAGTCTATGTATATAGCTTTCAGTAAAGCTATTCAGAAAACATAATATGTTAAAAACTAAAAGAAAAGTGGGAAACACGACACAAGATGGTATATAGGACAGTCTCTCTTATTTGATGACTGAAAATTAGAAAAAGAGACCTCACTTAACGCTGATTCCCATGGCTCTAGATATAGGTCCAAAGTAGTTGCAATTTGTTGAGAAACGATCTTTTCTGAGTTGGATGTTCTAGATATTTTTTTAGGAATTAATTTCGGTATCCTGGTAGTAATAGTACAGGGAACTACCTGGTTCTATAAACATTTAAATATAGTGTAGGTACAAAAAAAATAGAGGCTTTTCCATGATCGTAAGCAAATTGGGAATAAACTAAATACATATCTTCATCTCTTTCTAAGAACGGTGCATAGGTCTAAAACTGACGAACCAGCATATGTACTCATTGATTCAATATAGCACTGAGTGGCACTGCAACTGTTATGGACAGGCGTGTCGCTTACCACCAACCGCACGACCTGTTCGTCCTATGACTTCGTATTATAAAAAAAATATACTAAGAACGTTCAGCACTTCCAGTGGCTAGCGCTATTAAAGTTAATCGCACATAGGACTATGTATATACACGATATTTGTTTCTGAGTTATCAATATCATTTTCTATTTGGTTCTAACAAAAAAACATGAAAAAACTAAAGTTTTTTTCAAGTTTTATTTTTAGTTTAAATTTTAATTTTTGCAGGGAAATAATGTGTTTTGTGTCAGGAAAACGAAATGTTGAAATTTGCGTACCACACAGAAAACGTTGACATTTTCAGATTTCTCTTTATTTAAAAACAAAAAGGGAAGGGTAATTTTCATGTTAGATTTCTCTACCTAATTTCGGTGGCAATTTTTATTATTTAAGTATATTATCGTGAAATATAGAAAAATATTTCAAGACACTATACTTGAATATTAAATAATACTCTATGATAATATTCTAGATTATGAAGTAATAAAGATTTCCACCGAAATTATGTAGAGAGAACTAACCTGAAAATTACACTACTTTATATTTAAAATCTATAATATATTTCAACCGAAATTCTATGAATTGTTGATAGAGAACTTAGAAATGTAGAGATTTGCGAGAGTATGTAAATACCACTATGTAGTTATGTAAATAGATAGCAATGTAAATGTCACTGTGATAAGAACCAAATTTCAGGGGTATAGCCACATGAGTAAAGATTACTCATATGGTATAGCTATAGCTACGCTTTTCTATGTACTTGCTGCTCTATTAAACAGACACCAATACAGTCAAAGCAGAAAAATAACCTTTTTTAAAGTTTTTTACTTATATAGTGAATCGGAATTTCAATAAAATCTCAGTTAACTAAAATTTTTCAAAATACCATTACGTTCTGGGGCCTTACCATGAACTCTTATTACAGTTCAGTATAGGTTCGTAACGACAAAAAAGCGGGATGGAGATATAGATTTAAATTTAGATTTATTTATTGTCTTGCAAACTTTACATTATTATATACAATATATTGTATTACAAGAATCGTTGCAAATAGTAATACATGTTACATTTCAAAAAATTACAAATATCCAGTACAAGTTTTGTACTACGTAATTTTAACATAGTTAATGTAGTTATGTGAAATAATGTAGGAACATATTACATAATATAATAATCATTACGTCAATATAATGATTGTATGCATTAAGTTTATGTAATTTATTCATTTCTGTAAAATAATATTTATACCTAATAATCTATAAATTACAACATATATTACAAAACCATGTCCCTATATTCTCTAGTGGAATAATACGCATTATCAACAAAAAGTCTTTCAGTCGACGATCAAATGTTTCATCATTAGGCTCATTTTTAAGTCAACGGGTAGTGTATATGAATACACTTCATGTAGCGCTGTCTCACAATGATTCATTTTACGTCCTAAACTTTCGTTTCAGTTTAGGACATAAATTCAGTTCGTAATAAGAGTTCATGG